AGACTGATGTTGGGGGCACAGCCATCCGGTGGTCTCAGGGTGTCATGCTGGGCTAATGGCCTGCTGGCTCCCCCGAGGGTCAGCCTGGAAGGAAGTCTGCCCAGCAGGTGGCCTGGAAGAGGGAGGTTCCCCAGGTAGTGACCCACTGTCCTTGCAGTGTCCCCAAGGACTCCCTGTGGGCATCTTGGGCTGTGGCAGGGATGGTGATGCTGCCTGGCTCCCTTTGGTATCTAGATGTTGATGCTGCCCATGCCCATGAGTACATCTGAGACAGGGTTGAGTTTTTCCAAGGCATTTATTAAGAAACACAAGACAGACATAGAGTACACAACCAAAGGAATGAAAGTGTTTTTATCACAATCCATTAACAGCTAAGAAAAACGTGCTGGTGGACACAAGGCCCCAGTCTATTTTCAACAATGTCTCTCTTGGCTGCTAAGCCAACCAGCTGAAACGTTCTCCTCTGAGACTATCAGGCTAACCTTCCCAAACTCCCAGCTCTGCTTCCTAGTCACCTCTTTATGACAGACCCTTCTCCACCTGGCCCCAAAGACTCCTCCCCTGAGGCTTCAGGTGTGGGACAGCCCGACCCTGCCGTACCCTGTGCTCCCGCTATCAAAGGCATTTGTAGTCCTAGGACAGCTCTCTCTCTTTGCCCATCTCTCGGCACTTAGCTAAACTAGATCCCCGAACAAGCTGAGTAGGCTGGTTCTGTTACCCTTAGCCAAGCTACCTATTTTCCTAAGCCTGCGACTGACCTTAGTTTCTCTCCTGCTAGAACAGAGTGCCCTCTTGGGCAGCTCCCCACTCCAGCTAGTCCAAAGCTTTGGTCTCCCCCAAACAGAACTCGGTGGCCCCATCACTCCCACTTTGCTGACAGGGTCGTGCTCATTCCTGGCTGACCCGCTACAGAGAGACCGTTGCACACACTGAGTCTGGCACCCACCTACTGCACCCGCCCTGCTCAGGTCACCAACCTCACCAATTTCCTCGCAAAGTTTCTGACTTCTCTCTTGGACTTCTGTCCCTTTGGAATTTTATCACTGTAGATTTGTTCTACGATAGTGCTTTAGATTCAGTAGTTAGTTATCAGACTAGAGAGAAAGGAGGACTATTCCCTCCCAAATTAAGGTTTTCCTAAACTATCAAAAGATTGGGTCACTCTTGCCATTTGGAACTTTTTCTAAGTGTCTGATTATCGACCCCCTAACCGGCAGTCTGATGCTCAGCTGGCCTGCAGGAACAGCACTGAGCCTCGGCTAGCTGGTTGTGTCCCTCCTGTTCCTCAGTCACTGTTGTGTTTAGCATATGGCTTCTTCAAGGAATTGCTGCAGAATAAAGCAAAACATTTTCCTCCACAAGAAAAGACAGTTTGCAGGTAACAACACTACCCAGATAGTCTCTACTGCACACGACCGCGGTCACCAACCTCACCAATTTCCTCGCAAAGTTTCTGACTTCTCTCTTGGACTTCAAAATGGCAGAGATAACCTTTTATCTCTGTTCAGCTTACACTGATGGAAGAGCATCAGGTCACACAAGTCGGCTGGACTTTTTCCTAACCAATGGCATACAAAATACATCTCCATGCTGCTCAATCAGTCCTCACAACCCTGTGAGGTGGACATGGCAGATATCATCCCCATTTCACAGATCTAGAAATAGGTTCAGAGAGGTTAGGGAGATCACACAGCTATGAGTGGAAGAGCAAGCACCCAACCTCAGTCTCTGCCACTTCATTCACTTTCCCTTTTAGGGACAAATATGAAGACGGTTTCTACTCCCTTTCTCTCTACCCAAATGGCATTCTTCTTTCAACCTGGAAAGTTCCAAACAGAAAAAGGAATGACTGATGAATTTAACTGTTACAGTACAATGTGCAGTGGGAGAGGGGGAGTCACTGTATCTTTCATGATATTCCCGATTTCAGCGTTTCCCAGGGGACCCATCTGGGTTCCCAGTTAGGGTGTTAGGGAATATTTTACCTCCAAATTATGTTCAATACTTTACTTCCCATCTGTTTCACATTTTGAGAGTGTTCTGTGCCTCTGCCCCTTAGTGAGGAAACTATTATTTCTATCTTCCAATGCCCAGCTTCCTGAATCTCTAGAGCATCTGTGAGGCTCTCTTCTTGCAGCCAGATGAGGTCTCTGTTTCTGCTCATTCTTTAGTTGAGCCTCAGGGCTGGAGCCTCCTCACCAGGCCCTCTGCATAGGGTTTCTCCACAGCTCAGTAGAGCTGTTTACAGGGCTAGGCCCACCCTCCCCGAGAGCCTCCGTTCCCCAGGGCCTCCCTGCACACACACACACACATAAGCAGGACACCCCTATTTCTTCTCCTGTTTGACTTGGAGCCCAGCCACCCTGGGAGGCACCGGGTGGGCTGTGTCCACAGCGCCCCCTACTGGAGATTTTCCACAAGCCAAGGTTTTGAACGACTTGGAAATTTCTGACGTGGAAATTTCTGCTGCCTTCCACTATCCCACCCTTTTCTGGATATTGATTCATAGCTGTCTCCTGAGCACTTTCTAGGTGCCATCACAGTGCTAATTTGGCGCACTGAGCTGCAAAGACAGAGGTACCCGTGCAACTCCTCTGATACTACCTGGTCCCGTATGACCCCTGCTTGGTTTCCAGTTGGTCTGAATTAGTTTGGGGAACCAATAAAACCATCCCCTGCCTTCTGGGCTCTCTACAATGATCCAGTCACCCACAGGGACCTCCTGACCTCTGTCGAGCCCCAAGGCAAGTTCCTTGGTCAGTCACCAAACAAAACCCAGCCCTGACAACTCCTTCCAGCTAGGTCCCACCGCTGGAGTTTCCGCCTGACCCCTCCTCCTCCTCACTGGGAGTCTTATTTGTGCACACAGGTTCATTTGCATATCTAGTAGCTAGTCCTGAATTTCAGTTACAGAGTCATGTATTTTTTTAAAGTAAATACTCAAGCCTACATGTTACTTAATGGCTGATAATTACTGAAGCAGGAATGTGCACATACGAACAGCATGAAATAATGCAAAAAAGAACCCAATCTCCCCATCACTATTTATACATTTTAAACCTATTTCCACTCCATACTGCTTTAGACATACTTTCACCTTGTTGCCATCATTATGTGATCATAATTCCAAACTCCCCCAATCACTGACTTACGGTTGCATCATATAACATATTCTTCTGCATAGTTTTTGTATTTGTCATACCTGAAGGCAGCAGATCATTGTCCTAACAGACCACAATCTACTCACCAACCCCCACTGTTCAGCAATTTCCCGTTAATGACTGTAGTGTATAGGGTGGCCACGTCTCTTGCAAATACTTTCTTCCTTTTAAATTATTTTCCCAGAATGTATTCCCCAAAGTGGGATAGTTTAGTTTTAAAAGCCTTTTTTGGACCCTCGTCAGGCATTGCCAAACCTCTCTCCAGATTTCTCCAGGAGTCTATTTCACCATGACATTGGTTAAAAATGTATTTCTGATGAGTATAAATGGTCCATTTCATCTTACTAGCTGTGGCCTGGTGTGTTCCCTGTGGGTGCTGAATCTGCGCGGCACTCCGACCAAGCAGAGCTCTCCGTCACTCCCATGCTGACGGCCCAGCTGTACCTCAGCTCAACTCTACGTAGTTGTCTCATGTTGTTGAATTTCCTTTAATCTTCATTACCCTTTGCTATTCATCCATTCATATATATATATATATATGAATGTGTCCACCTGACACTGATAATTTCTGCACTCTCTTCATGAAATAAGCAGTGACCTCCCTGGAGAAGGATTCTCTTTTCCCTACCCTTAACGCTCTGCACCTCCCATCTGGTCTCATCCCCAATCCCTCCAGTTTTGTGAAATTTCAGTGCCAATGATCTCTATGTTAAGATTCCCGTTGGTCACAGCTCCATGGCCCTAGCCAGACTTGGCCACTCTGGTCCCACTGCGGTCATGGCCCATGCAAAGCACCAGGGCCGGTGGGAGACACCTGCGAGAGGCCCCTCCTTTCCCTCCCAGCCCCACTACCTACTCATCAGGCTTCCTGTTGGCTCACCCCTCTCCCCAATCCACACCTGGCTGACAGGTGGTTGTCCTCAGTCACTGTGGACTACAAAATACGTATTCCTTCATCCCCAGTTCAGTCAAATGAAGGCCAAAATTTCCCAAAAGGAATTTTGCTAAGAAACTAAGGGACAGCTAAACCTAGACTCCAGGAATGTAACGAAGTCAACACAGAAGTGTTGCATCCTAAAGATTTATTTTACATCCTCCAGAAGTCTTGCCTCAGTGGGCCTGGAGGTGGGGGACGGGGGCCCGGAGGGGTCTTCCCTCCTCCTACACTCAGAAGGCTGCCTTGTGGATGGCAGCCCTGCCTGGTTCAATTTTTTAGAAGCACATGGTCTTCACGGGCTTGGAGGTAACCACCTCCTGGCCACAGCTGGTGTCTGCATTTTGGTAGACGCTGACCTTGTACTTCACTGGGAGAGGTCGTTGTCATAGGCGCTTCAACTTCTGGGTTGGACTTGGGGATTGGGGGAAGCATTTATTGCTGGAAATCCCAGGCCTCTTCCACTGGTATGTCCCTGCTCCAGTCTGAAGAGTGCCAGGTTCTTAGCTACCTTCCAGAAGGCAGCTGCCTGACATACCTGGGCCCTTTGACTCAGGGGACTTCTCCCTAGACTCTCCCTGGCTTACTCCATCAGGAATGGTTTTGAAGAACACAAATCAGAATGAGCTTTCAAATCTCAGGGTCCTAAACTAAATGCAGCAGCTACCCACAGAAAGCAAGAGGCCTGGCCAGCACCCCTGCCACCCTCTTCTGCTTCTCAGCCTGCTCACGCCACCACCCTTGGCTCCTACCTTCCCTGTAGGCCGAAGAGGGTTAGCAGTTTGGCACCTCATGCTGTTGCCAACCCCTGCCCTTGGGGAAAATGCCCTTGGCCACCACATCCCATGGGTAGTCCTGCCTCCCCCTCCCTCCCAGCCCCGCCCTTCCCCAGCCCACCTACCCCATTAACTGTCAGGCGAACGCACCCGAAAGACATGGATGGTCCCATTACTGAGGGACACAACCAGGTACCGGCCGTCCACCATGGTGGTCACCCGTGGCTTTTCCAGGCCATGATAGGCCGTCAGGAAGTCGCCAAGCAGTGACCCCTTGGGGTCCAAGATCACCACCTTGTTGACCTCACGAAGGGTCAGAAAGATGTAGCCCCTTTTATCTACGGACACGGAGCCTGGCTGGCAGCCATGCAAGCCCGGCCCTCGGTACTCCCCGATCACCTGACCCAGCCCGTCGCAGACCACCAAGCTATTCTGCTGCCAGTCTGAACCCACAAAATTCCCCTGCGGGCTGGTGGTTAGGAACACCAGTGCCCGCTGACCCCGGCTGGCCCTGCCCCCAGGGATAAACCGGGTGGCCAGGCTGCCTTCCATGTTGTACACTTCCACGTGGCCAGACACGCTGACGGCCACGCGGTCCCCGCTCGGCATGGCAGCCACCGCGTGGCTGGCCTGGGAGAGGCTCAGGGCCCGGCGCCACTGCACCTCTCCATCAGGGCTGATAAGGTACAGCCGGGCACCAGCGGAGAAAGCCACCGCGCCCTGCAGGGCAGCCACACTGCACGGGGAGCAGCTCTCGGGGACAGGCACGGCTCCTTTATAGTCGCCGTTGAGGGAAAAGCGCTTCAGTGCTCTGTTCTGCTCATCAGCCACCAGGATCTCCCGGGGGCCAAAGGGGCAGAGCCCAGTGATCCGGGGAGACCGCCTGTCGCCAGGCATCCTCGTGGGGAAGCTGCAGGAAAAGATGGGTCTAGGGAGGAGGCCAGAGCCCTCCAGGTTTGGCCCTGGCGCTGGGCTGGGCTCCCGGGAAATCGCCTTGAACCTGTCTTTGAACTTCTTCTTCTTGTTTAATCTGCCACCCCTTGGGGTCTGGGCTCTTTCGTCTTCCTGGGGTGACTGGGCTCTACTCTCTTTCGGGGTCTGGGTTCCATCTTCTTGGGGCGTCAGGGCTCTATCTTCCTTTGGTGTCAGGGCTCCATCCTTACTCTGGGGCTGGAGTCCATCGTGTCTCTCACTCTGGGCTCCATCCTCACCGCAGCTCTGGGTTTCGCTGCTTCCCTGGCTCCTGGCTCCAGCTTTCCCACTGTCCTTCTGTGGCTGCTGCTCCTCAAAGGCGAGCCGTAGCAAATGGCAGTTCTTGTCCAGGAGTCCAGGGTGGAGCTCCAGCTGAGGCAGCAGGCAAGGGGCTGGCCCAGGCATCCAGGGACTACCTTGTAGCTGCTCGAGCCTCTGTGTGATCGCCCCCTCCAGGGAGAGGATCTCAGCCTCACGACCCAGGCTGAGCACCCGACGGGCGAAGGCAGCAGCCTCCTTGGCCACCTGTTCCCGGCCCTCCAGCTCACCCAGTCGCTTCCGGGCAGCCTCTTCAGCAGCCTCTACATGGGCCCGTAGCTGGCCCAGCACCTCCTGCTTCTGGGCAAGAAGGGCCCGGAGGACTCCCTCGGCCGCCTCCTCTACTTGCATCCCCACCTTGGCCGCCTGCTCCCTCAGCTGGGCCAAGGCTTCCTTCTCCAGCATTCGGGTGGCCTCCAGGTCGGCCAGGTTGCTGTCTACGCCTGCCAGGAGTTTCTCCAGGGCTGGCCTTCGGGCACGCACTGCCTCAGCCAGGGGCAGACAGGGGTGGTCCAGGTGGGGGTCCAGGCGGCACTCGCGGCACAGCAGCTGCGAACAGGGCTGGCACAAGAAGCGCAGGGCCTCTCCGGGGTGCTGGGGGCACTGGGCCGCTTGACGCTCCCGGGCCTCTTCATCATACCACCCTGCCCTGTAACCCACCAGGTCAACTACGCGGTGGGTGTGGGTCTGGCGGGTGCAGCGGTGCCCGTCAGCACAGGCCTGGCACAAGTCGTCGGCACAGTCCAGACACCGGGCAGTGGCCAGCCCCCCGGTGCTGGTGCCGCCCATCAGGGGACACAGAGCACAGGCCGCCTTCCCTGCACGAAGGTCTCCACCCGCCCGAGCCTTCACCAAATCCAGGAGCCCGTTGACGAAGAAGTTGGTCTTGAAGGCGGCCACGCCCGAGGGGGGCACCGGCACCGTTTCTCGGCACTCAGGACATCGGAGGTGGCTGCCCTCGGCCAGCTGGGCCAGACAGTCCTGGCAGTAGGTGTGCAAGCAGGGCAATGTTTTTGGTGCCCGCAGCTGCTCCAGGCAAATTTTACAGGCCAGGAAGTCACTGCTCAGGGCCTCCAGCAGGGAGGGCGAGGATCCCTGGGAAACCATACTGCAAGGAGGGGTTGAGGTCAGAGGGCAGAGGGCACCTCCACAGGGTCTCCAGCCTGCCCTCTTGCCACTCCCCTCATCATACCCCGCTAGGTCTGGGATCTCACCTGAATGGCTAGGAATTTTCTTCTGGCCTCCGGTCAGGGTCTCTGGCCCACTTGCTCTTAGGTTAGGAGGTGATCCGTCTTCTTCTTGAAAACTTGGAGCAAAGGGAAAAAAGTCAATGCTACTTGCTTTGCTTCAGGCACTTGGAGAAATGACAGGACCTAGAAGCCCAGATCTTAGTTGCTGATGTCACGATAGTACCTCCTGGTCAGGGCTTGGCAAGGGTCAGTGGTCCTGGGGTCTGGTGGGGCTGGGTGTGTGTGCAGGAGATGGGTGGGCAGGCAGGACACAGGAGAGCTTCCAGGTGGGCAGAGTGGCCTTGACGCCTGGCCAGTGCGCAGTGGGAGGGTGCCACTTACCACAGCCCCCACACCTGTCTTCTAGACCCTGGGGGCTGCATCATGGGGATCATGGGGAGGGGGGACCTCCCTTCCTGCCTTGACTTTCCTAACTTGTTCTGGAGGGGGCAGAGAGGAGGGGCCGCCCTGCTCTCTCCTTCCAGCTGCTGGGACACAGGTCACCCGGGCCTTGCACCTTTCCTAGTCCTCTTCTCTCAGCCTTCCCTGCTAGGAGAGGCTTCCTGCTTTCCTCTGAGGGGCGGTGAGTTTCATCTCTAATTTACCAGTTCTCCACAACACAGGCACCCTGGCTGTGAAGTAGGAACTTGGGGAATCTCCCCCCCCCAACTTCCGTAAAGAAGGGGAGTGTGTGTGCACTGGGAGGAGAGAGAACTGGGGCTTGGGGGGGGGGGGTGTCATTCCCAGGGAAGCCTCAGACCCCAGGCCCGGTGGGGGTGTGGGCAGTCCCGGCTCAGCCTCCCCTCCCCTCCTGCCTTCTGGGTCTCTCCACCTCCTTCCTCTTCCTCCCCACCCCTCCCCCTCCTTCCAGTCCCAGTTCCTCTTTCAGCTGCCCTCCCTGGCCACAGCCACGCACGCCTTACCTAGCCCGAGCTGACTCCGAGGTCCACGATAGGAGTGGGAGGCCGAGGTGTGGACGCTGCTGTCGCTGGATGTCTGAAAGAGAAGCAAAACTGAAACTAATCGTACTTGTGCAACTTCCGTCTCGGGCCTGGGACAGCGACTCGACCGGCCGCCGCAGGCCCCGCCCTCTTCCCTGCCCCCGCCGGACCGCTTCCTCCCGAGCCCCCACCCCCGCGCCAGGCTCGCCCCGTGGCAGGCTAGGGAGCGCGGGTCCCAGGGCGTCCAGCCTCGGGATTCGCTCTGCTAGGTGTGCTGATCTCCGAAGCAGGAAACGCTCCAGGAGCGAACTGAGAGCTATTCTGTGCTTCGGAGCCGTAGGATAACCAGGGTGTGGAGGGCTCCCTGCTGCGGAGATCTGGAGATCCGTTTCTGGCGAGGCCCATTAGGTCACAAACCCTTGCTGAGATGAGGAAGAGGCTAAAGGAAACCAGACACGCACTCCGAGGGCTTCAGCTTCCTGGAGGAGGCTTCCCTAGACAGGAGTCTGAAGAGGACTGGAGGCTTGGGGCGGCTGGAGAGGAAGCACAGGGAAGGGCATCCTGGGAACTGGAATAGCCAGTGTCAGGGCACAGAGGAATGATACAGTCCCAGTCTTCTGGGTGTTCCACGTAATGTAGGGTGCTTTGTGAGAGGGGGACATGTGAGTGATGACAGATAAGATTCTAGAGGGTGACATTGGCCGGACCAAAGAGGGCTTTGGTTCTGCAGGAAGGACTATGCGTTCATCCAACAGCCAAAAGAAACCGTAGAAGGGTAGTTCCTGAACATTTAAGGACTATTTTTGAAGCATCAAAAAGTTGAAACAGTTGCAGAAGACACTCACATACCCACTGATGAGATTCTCCAGTTAAGATTTACTATGGCTGTTTCATCATGCTGTATCCTTACAAGCATGTATAGGTCTAGAGGCATAGACAGGCCACAGCGAACGGCATTTCAGTTGGAAATGAACTCATGAACTCACAGCAGTCAAGAGAACAGGGGACCCTGACTGTAGGTCCCAGTGAGCCATGAAGGACACAGCTGACACAAGAGGGACAGAAGAAGGGACTGAAGCTTCCCTCGCCATTGTCAAAGGCCGTTGTCCAAGGCAGAGACCTCGGCTCTGCAGGGCTCTTCTGACGGACTTGGAGATGAGCGTTGGTGACATCTCCGCTTGTGACTTTCTCCTACTAGTCCAGTGTGCCTGCAGTTTTGATGAAGTTGCTAAAGAAAGTATCCAGCATGCAAAAGAGCAGGGCTGGGATGGCCCTTCAGGGGATGTGACAAGGTAACAAAGGTTCTCTGGGGGTCTGGCTGCTTGCCGCTCTTCAGCCAAATCTGGAGAGACAGATGTTGGTGGGAGGAAATCAGATTTAGTCTGGTGCTACAGGCCTGAGGACGGGCTGATTACTGTCACAGGGGCCTTCCCCCTGGACTGGGGAGCATGGACCTAATGGGGGGGTGCTAAAGAAGGGGCTAGGGGGTGACATCAGCGGGATTGCAGAGAAACAGAGTTCTCCAGGAATTGTATTCATGCCCCTTTTTCTTCCAACTTTAGTCTTGATGGGCATCGGCCCAGGCTGGTGAGCTTTGCACTGTGATAATGAGGTTGTGCCTTCACCCTTATCTTGCTTCTACCTCCGTCTTGGTTTCAGCCCGTTTTGCTTGGTTTTCTGGTTTTGTGTGCAAGGAAAGATAAACAGGAGCAGGGCAAGGACGAACAGGGCACAAACAAGGAACTTCAGGTTACCAGCCAGGGAGAATTCCCTTTCTGCCCGTATCTTGTTCCTCATTCTTGAGGCTCCATGGCTTGAGGTCCCTCTTCTGGAACTAATTACTGCTGCGTAGGGGCCCCTACAGGAGCTAACTTGTGAGATGATCTGTTGTCATCCTAATGGTTACAATTATTGGGTGACATGGAAACTGAGCAATTCAGGAGTCGGGCCAGGATCCGAAGAAGTAGGTACATTAGAGTGACTGCCCCCATGGGAGAGTAGGGTGCCCTCACCCAGACCAACTAGGAGAGTCATTATAACAGGAGACCGGAGTCACGATTCAGTTTTATTCAAGGGGCCCGCCTCTGGGTAGCCCCTTCTTTCTCTGTATGTCAGTTCCAGCTGTCCTTGGAGCTCAGCTTAAGGTTGTTGCTGTCACTTAAGTACAAGTCTCGGAAAAGTAAGTTTTTTCCTTTTGTGTTCTTTAAGGTCCTTGAGCAACTTAACAGTTTATCCTGGGTGACTAGGCTAAACACACTGGGGTGTGTTGGTCTGCACCACAGCTCCTGGGTCTGTGGAATATTCAAAGATAGACAAGATATATTCCTTGTCCACAGGGGGTTTACAATTTATTAGAGGCCGGCTGTTTGTAATCTAAAAGGCGAGGGGAGCACAGACATTGTAGGGGGGAGGGACTGTGCCTGAAAGAAGCAGGTATGTAGTTGCCAGAGGGGTGGAAATCCAAGACAAAGGTCACAAAGCCAAGCTGGAGAAGGCAGCACGTCCAGGAGGAAGAGGTGGTGGCTGGGGATTGTGCAAAACAGGCCAGAGCAGACCATCAACCAGGACAAAGAGAAAAAAAGTCTTGGTGTTTGCGTGTCTGTAAGTGTGTGCACGCACCTGTGTGTGTGCTGTGGGTGTGTTGGTCGGTGCAATGGCCTTCAAGAACAGCTTGGTGGCTGCCAGAGGGGCAGAGAGATGGGCAGTGGGTGAAGAGGGTGGAGGATTGATTGTAGGGTGATGGATGGAACCGGACGTCCCCTGGTGGTGCGCCAATGCAGTAACAGCAGGTGAACGGTAAAGCTGTACTCCTAAAAGTATATAGCGTCAGAGTCATCGCCACCAACAAAAACCAGTTTGTTGAATGCCTCCTGTGCTTGGGGAATATTCAAAGATAGATATGTTCCTTGACCACAGGGGGTTTATAATTTAAGAGGCTGAGCTGTTTATAATCTAAAAGAGGAGGGGAAATCCCTCCATGTTGCAATATGAAGCAGTAAGACAGGTCAGATTAAGGTGGCAAAGTAATCATCACTGTGGCTTCCTTTCATTGGGTATTTACCAAGTTCTTGATCTGGGGTGTGCTCATCATAACCAGATTTAATTCTCATAATAACCTCATAAAGCAGGTATCATTATTGCCTCCGTTTTCTAGGTGAGGAAACTGTTAGAGAGAGAATAAGTCACTCACAAAATGCTATGCCAGCATAAAAGGAGAGCCTGATTTCTCTGGAAGGGGGCCAGTGTGGAGGGAGTCAGGAGGGCTTCCTGAAAGAGGCAGCTTCACCTTGACTCTCCTGTTGTGTTTCCCTAATGTTGACAATTGCTTATAGTGCCTGCAGTGTGTGGCCAGGCCAGGAAGACAGTTTCTCCTCCCTGAGAACACTTAAGCTCAGCTCAGCTCAGCTCCAGCCCATGGATAAACATTCCCATCTAGAAGGAGTAGGGGAGGTGGAGATTCTGGCAGCTGCTGAGGGTTTATCCAGAGGACCAGAAGTTGTCTAAGAGGACGAGTAGAGCTGGGTGGAGGAAGTGGCAGGAAATGTAACCAACTTTACAATTTCAACTTAGAGGCCTGTGAGCCCTTAAAGTGAGGGGGCACCATTCTAGGATTCTCACTGGGCAAGACTGGACTTTTTTTCTGGAGGTTCTTGGGGGAGGGAGGAGAACAAATGTGTGTGTGTGTTTAATAATTTATATAGATAACAAGGATAATTAAAAACAGTCATATCTCTATTGTAGCCAAGTAGCCTTTTTTCGCGTCTGTATTTCCTTTGTTCTCAGCCCACATGACTATATTTTACATTGTGCCTAGTATACATACACTTTTTGTCTACTTACAGAATTTAATGGCCCATCAACACTTTCTATGTGCGTACATACTCTTCTTAGTTTACAATCAAGTGGTGTGTTCTGTATGATTCGATGCAATTTTATACAATATAGATGCATCCACCAGACTCCAGACACAGAATTTTCCCATTAAGACAAACTCTTCCCCCATCCTGGGCTCCTGCAGTCACTGGTCTTGGAACGGGGGTCCCCAGGAAAAGGGGAAGTTCCAGGTTCCCTGCCCTACCTAGAAGGAGGGTGGAGCTGAGCAGAGAAAAGAAGAGAAGGAATCTGAGGAGGAAGGAAGCAGGGTGGAGCCAGAAGGAGACCTGAGGAAGCCAGAGGGAGCAGAGGGAGGCATGTGAAGAAGCTGTGCTTGTCTCTTGGCCCTGGACTGGTTGAAAGAGATGTGGGTGAGAGGCCGTGGGGACGTTGACTATGGCAGCGTTTATATTGATTTTGATTTTGCTCTTTTCCTCCCAGGCTTGTCTGGACATTTCTGACCCTTTTCTATGGGCCCCGGCCAGAAGATGCTTTAGGCTTGCGGCAGCTTTCATGCCTTGCTTTGGGCCAATCCCTTTTGGGTGGACTTTTGCCCATGAGGAGATGGGTAACTTCAGGAGTTTGATTTAGAAATTATATTCTTGGTCTTCTGTATTGTAGACTCACTATATACAACTGTTCCTTTTCATTAAAGTCTCATATGTTTTGTCTTGATGTGGTGGATGGCAGAACCTATTTAGAGCAGGCAAGTTTGGGGGTTCAGTGGTAACCCTCTCTCCCTGCCCTGTAACAGCCTGTTCTACATCTCTATAATCTTGTCATTTAAAATATGTTACATAAGCAGAAGCATACAGAAGCCTGTCGAGACGGGCCTTTTTTGAGTGTCCCTGAGATCTGTCCAAGTTGTAGCAAATACATCATCAATACTTGTCCTTTTTATTGCCAGGTGACTGGGTGTACACAGTTTGTGTAGCCATTGTCCTAGTGGAAGAGATTCAGATGGTTTCCTATTTGGGGTTATTATAAATATAGCTATGAACATCTGTATGCATTTTTTCCCTATTAATACTGTATTCATTTGTCTTCCCTGTCAAACCCTGAGCCAACCGCTTTCCCCGAGCTGCCTGGAGAAGTACAGGGCAGACAAGACCTGGAAGAGCTGAGGGGGGTGGCAGCGGCTCCTTCACAGGCTGAGGAAGGCCACCGTCAGGCCAAAGAGCTTGCTGGCCTCTGAGAGGGCCAAGCAGGGAATG